CTGCCCCGCGACGGAGTCAGGCGGTCGTCGTCGTCGTCGTCGTCGTCGTCCACGCCCGCGTCCGCGATGGCGACGTCGGCAACGGCAACGAGGTGAGAGGGTCTACAATCACCGTGCTGCCACGAGGAGCGCTGAAGAAGGCACGCAGGGCTTCTTCCGTGGCCGCGAAGAGCCTCGGCCACGAACGGGTCCCCTGGCCCAGGTCTGCGGCACGGCCCGACCAGCGGAGCCCCTGCGGAGCCCCAAAGTGCTCCTTGACCTCCAGCGCCTCGACTGCAGGCTTCTGGACGCTGTTTCGGGCATCGCGTAAATGGGGGCGATGAGTTCGGGGGCCAAGCAAGGTGCACATGTCGTGCTCCTAGGGGCCCTCTGGGGCCCAAACGGAGCACGAAAGGTGCACGCTTCTTCGCCTCCCCAACTGTCGCACCCCCATTAAACGACGCCCAACTATTAGATCCTCTCGGCCGCCGGAAGCGACCAGACGGCTCGTCGGGAGCGTGGTCGTCGTCGCCAACGCGTCGTCAACGCCGTCGCCACCACCGCCGTCGTCGTCGTCGTCGTGATCGTCTTCACCCTGGCCCTCGCCGTCAACGTCGTCGCCGTCGTCGCCGCCGCCGCCGTCCTCGTCCTCATCGCCAACGTCGTCGTCGTCGTCATCGTCATCGCCCTCGTCGCCTGGCGGTCTTCGGGTCATGACTCTGGCCTTCTAGGCCCGCTGGGGCGACCTGGACACCCCCCGGAAGCCCGCGACGAGGCGCAGCTGCTGGAAAGCATCCCGAGGCGAGAAAACCTCCAGGAGCCAACGAAAACCTCGCCGCCGCCCTCTCCATCGCCGCCGCCGCCGCCGCCGCCGTCGGGCGGCCGGGGCGAGGGCGCCGCCAGAAGGGGCGCGGCAGAATGGAGCGGCGGCGCGCTCTGGGGGGAAGAGCGGCCAGCAGGAGCCCAGGAGCAAGCCCTGGAGGGGCTCCTCGTCCGCCTCCTCCACCTCCTCCTCCTCCTCCTCCTCCTCCTCCTCCTCCTCCTCCTACTCCTCCTCCTCCCTCCTCCTCCTCCTCCTCCTCCTCCTCCGCCGGCCGCCGCCGCCGCCGCTGCCGCCGCCCGCCGCCGCCGCCGCCGCCGCCGCCGCCGCCGCCGCCGCCGCCGCCGCCGCCGCCGCCGCCGCCGCCGCCGCCGCCTCCCCCTCTTCCTCCCTCCGCCTCCTCCTCCTCCTCCTCCTCCTCCTCCTCCTCCTCCTCCGTAGCCATTTGGGCTCAAGCGGCTTTCGCGCCCTCTCGGGCCTCTCGCGGCGCCCCACGGCGAGCGGTGCGGATGATAGCTTCAAGGGGCAAGAGCTCCGTCGCTGTGAGTGTTGGCGCAGTGGTCGCACACTGCTCGGCGGGGCAAGCCGAGGCAGTAGCAGCGCAGCTGCTGCGCGCCACGGAAGTCGGCGGCTGCAGCGCGTTGGGAGCGCGTCGCGGCGGCCGTGCGACGATCGGAGGAGGGGAGGCCGCTGAGGCCGCGCTCGCTGCGTCGGCCGTCGTGGCAGCCCTCGGTGGCGAGACAGCGGCCAGAGGGCTGCAGGGCCTCCGCGCCCGTGGCGGCCGCCTGCCCAGGGTGCGCGATGCCAGGCGCGTTGACACCGCTGCCGCCCCCTTGCGCAACCCTGGCGCGGCGGCGCGGATCGGTGGCGACATGGCGACCTGGGTCAAGAAGCTGGACGGGTCGGAGAGCTCCACGGACGCCAGCGACGCGGACGGCCCCCACGGCGTGGCAGACACGGTCGTTGTCGCGAACTCCGAGGTCAAGATCGTCGAGTCGACCTTGCCGCAAGCCAGGAACGTGGAGAGGTCCCAGTCCACGCCAGATGACACCTTCATTGCGAAATACGGCCTCGTGAACTACTGCTTGACCATCCGCAACGCCATCCAGGAGGAGCCCACGAAAGTGGCGACAGTTGCGCAGATCGCAGCCCCCAGGGCACCGCGAGGTCCCGAGATGATCCGCGTGGGACGTACCTCCGCTGGGCCTCCCAGGAGCCCACGAAAGTGGCGACAATTGCGCAGATCGCAGCCCCCAGGGCACCGCGAGGTCCCGAGGTGATCCGCGTGGGACGTACCCCCGCTGGGCCTCCCAGGAGCCCACGAAAATGGCGACATTTGCGCAGATCGCGGCCCACAGGGCACCGCGAGGTCCCAAGGTGATCCGCGTGGGACGTACGCCCGCTGGGCCTCCCAGGAGCCCACGAAAGTGGCGACAATTGCGCAAATCGCGGCCCACAGGGCACCGCGAGGTCCCAAGGTGATCCGCGTGGGACGTACGCCCGCTGGGCCTCCCAGGAGCCCACGAAAGTGGCGACAATTGCGCAGATCGCAGCCCGACGGCACGAGAGAAGAGGAGAACACAGGAAACAGGAGAGGAGGAGGGGAGGAGGGGGGAGGAGGAGAAGGACGGGGCGACCACACTGCTCTAGTCAAAACGAGTACCCAGCCATAGGAGGGTTGGGAAAAATAGTCCCCAGACTATTGTTGGACTATGTTTAAACTATGTTTTGACTATTGCTTATCTTTCGTCAAAAAGTCCCCCTGTAGGGGGACAGGCCCGACTTAAGGCTATGTGAGAAGTGTAAGCTCGTCGGAAGGTCAGTTCATTGGTGGGCAATGTCGTGGCGAGGAAAGACCCATGGGTTCGTTGGCACTGCTGGTACGGTTGGATCCCATCCAAGCTTGGTGCCGAAGCAGCGTATTTGATTCGACGCATGCCGTACCCGTCCCAGAATTTGTCGTGGGATAGTTCGGCAACGGTTCAGACGGAGGACTATTTAGAGAGTCGCGGCAGCCGGCACCTACGGCCGGCGGGATGCATCTGCAACCGTCGGCTGCATGCAATACCCTACAGCAACTTGGTGGTGGCAGCTGTGGCTGGATGGCTGGAATACCTGTGCTGGCCAGGTGCGATTGATGGCGCGCATCGCCAGGGGACTGGTTCTGTTGACCGAGCTGGCTGATGAGAGCTTCTCGCCCGACTGGTGGTAAAAGTCGATCTGCGTCGAATCGTCACTGGTGGCATGCTCCATGTGCTGATGTGGAATACGTGCCGTCTGCTCCCACCGCATTTGGGACGAACAAAAATATCTTCCGTCCAAAATCCGCCTGTAGGGGGACATGCCCGACCTAACTCGGGGACGCGCAAACATGGATCGGCGATCCATGGACTTGGCGCGCGGTCGTCAAATCCATGGATCGGAGGAGGTGCCGTCCCCAAAAGGCGGCCAGTGCCGCCTCGTGCGGCGGCGGACATCCGCTCTTTCCCGTGGAAACGGGACCCGTCGCTCATCCACGCCCCCATTCGTCCATGCTTTCGATCGCCTGAAACCTCGGGACCCGCTTCCCTCGGGGCCCGCCTCCCCCATGGCGGCCTGGGCGCGCCGGCCGCCGGTGTCTCACAGGCTGCCATTCGGTGGGGCGTGTCCTCCTGCAGGCGGATGTTGGGCGAACCCTTGCTTGAAGGACCAAAAAAAATCAGAAATGGCCTCCCACAATTTTTGGTCGGCGGGGCGAGAGCGAACCTCGTCCGCTAAAAGCTAGGCGGGCTACGCACAGCTCTAGTCAGGGAGACAGGGCACAGGCAGGCGGGGCCTCAGGCGGGAAATGGCCTCCCACAAAAAATGATTAAAAAGATCGTCCCCACGCTACGTTCGGACTGCTCTTGAGGATCCCTCCTCTGGAGGGGCGTGCTGTTGGCAGCCCGCCGCCTGCGCCCCAGGGGAGCCCAGAATCGCATCGATAAGTCGGATCGGCGATCGAAACACGCCGGATCGGCGGAACTCGGCAGCCGAGTCGGGAAACGTCGAATCGGCGGACATGGGCAGGCTGGCATGCGTCCAAGAAGAAATCGGAGCCCGAATCGGAATCCGAAGTCGACTCGAATCGGAATCGGAAGCCATCGGAGTCGAACCGAATCGGAGGATCGGAGGGCAAGCCAAAACAAAAAAAAAAAAAAAATAAAAAAAAAAAAAACTCCACTATACACCAACTAACGAGTCCTGGCCGCAGGATCTGACATGGGCCTCGATGATCAGGCGTGAGGCGCTGGCGTGCCCAGGCTAGAGGGCGTTATACGGCCTGTCTGGCCGCAGGTGATCCTGGCCAGGATCGTGTTGGTGTATAGTTGGTGCTTCCTACTGGAATCGAGTGAGCCGGCGCACCGACTGCCTCGCGGGCGGGCGGTGCGCATGCGGCCTCAGCTGAATCAGCGCCTTCCGCCGCCCCCCGGCCCCCCGCGGGGCCCCCCCCCCCCCACGGCCCCGGGGGACCGCCCCCCAGGAGGGTGCCCCCCGGGAGGCAGGCCCAGGGGACCGCCTGCATCGCTCGGGCGGCGCCGCCCGAGGGGGGGGGGGGGGGGGGCCTCCTCCTCCTTCCCTCTCCTTCCTCCTTCCTCCTCCTCCTCCCTCCTCCTCCTTCTCCTCCTCCTCCTCCTCCTTCGTCCTCCTCCTCCTTCCTCCCGTCCCCCCTCCTCCTCCTCCTGCCACTCAAGTATAGTCAAAAAGCCGCCCTCCCTCCTCCTCCTCCTCCCCCTCCTCCTCCTCCTCCTCCTCCTCCTGGGCACACGGGGGCGGGCCGTCTCTCGGAATTCACAAGGTCAACTCGTATAGGAGGGGGGCGCGGCATGGAGACGAGGGGGCCTTGGAGGGCCATGTTGCCGTTTGTCGAGCGAGGCTGGCCAGCGAAAGCTGCCAAGGGTGAGCCGAAGGGACCAGGGTGCAAGGGCAGCCTTGGAAGGTCGTTCCTCCTTACCACGCGGGTTGGCTGTACACGAAAGGGGGGGGGACCCCGAGAGGGGGCTAGGGTTCGATAGCCCGGGCCCAACTCCCGCATGCCCTAGCTACACCCCAATCCAGCATCTGTTTGGGACTGTTCGATGTGTCAACCGACTGAACTCACACACACACACACACACACACACACACACACACCTGTGGCACACACACACACACTCTGAGAGGTCCCGATTCTCGGAAGGCT